TACTGCAGTACGGGTCCAGCCAAAGAGAGAAAGTCTCTGAGTATCAATCTTCCTTAGTGCCCCCTCCCCTCCATCATCCTCTGACCCTAAAGACAGGTGCCCCGGAAATACCCGAGACAGACAGGACAGCCCAAACCCAGTAATGCCTCAGATCTCCTCCAGCCCAAGGAGGTGTGAAGCACAATCTCGTTCCCTAATGACTGGTCCATGGGGCAGCACTGAACGCTCCTGCTGCCGACTGTGCATGACTGAACCAGGCTCAAGGGGAAATGAGAACATTGCCCAGCAGGAGAAAGCTGGATAAAAAGGCTGGAGCTTGGCCCCTGTTGGGCAGAGATGGTCTCAAGGTGTTTGCACTTGAGAATCTCAGATGAAAGGTGCTACAGAAGTGGAACTTATCATTAAAACAGGAAGCCTGATAAAAGGAGAAGCAGGGTTGGAAACCAGGCCAGTCTCTGGCTAGGACCTCTGCAGATTTCATAAGCAAGGAAGCAATGCTGTGAGAAATGGAGTGAATGACTCAGTAGGTGGCGTTCTTCTCCTGAAGGAGACAGGCATATTGCTAGGGGCACTATGCTACCGGAGGTGCTAAGGAAGATGAAGAGGACCTGACGCTCAGTGGTTATTGGAGACCTGGTTCTCACAAGAGCAAGGGGGGTTAGTTCTCGTATCCTGGCCAAGTTCCACATCTCGCCGACTCTCCTTGGAGTTTCAATAACACGTTATTCGAGTTCATGCCCCCTCGTATGCAGGTCTGCTAGCACAGAACAGCTGCCACGCTTCACTCCAGAGGGGGTACATTTCAGCGGAGCGTTGAAGTGATCCTTAGGCAGGGGGATGTGAGAAGCCACTTTGGGGCTATTCAGGATCAGAGACCCTAGAGCAGGGGTTCTCAAACTGGGGGTCAGGACCCCTGAGGGGGTCGCAAGGTTATTACATGGGGGGGTCGCGAGCTATCAACCTCCACCCCAAACCCCACTTTGACTCCAGCATTTATAATGGTGTTAAATATATAAAAAAGTGTTTCTAATTTATAAGGGGGGTCGCACTCAAGAGTCTTGCTATATGAAAGGGGTCACCAGTAAAAAAGTTTGAGAGCCACTGTCCTAGAGGAAGACAAGTGGTCAAAGGGCTATGCACCAAAAGAAGGTATTTTACTATTTCCCCCAACATGAAGACAGTTGGGCATAGCCTCAAACACAGGCCCCTTCACTGTGCAGTGCTGATCGTGTTCTTTCAGACACATCTGACCTAGTTCTACTGGTGTTCCTCTGGAATGCAAGAGGACTTTAGTACCAGTTAATGCTGCCAAATGATCTCTGCAGAGCACTCAAGCATCAAGCCCTTCACCCCACTGATACTTGGACAAGTAGCCACCACCTTTTCCCCATCCGGAGAAGTGCCAGTTATTTACACAGGCCCATTGGGCAGCCCTTCCCCGAGCACACGGCACATCCCTCACGGCACCACCAGGCTAGTCTTTGGAATGTTTCCTGGATATGCTGCATCCGCACGGCCCTGTTGCAGTGTTCTGCCTTTCCTGTTTAAAAAGAGATGTAGCTCTGTTCTGCTTTACTAAACCCTATTTGGCAATGTGTCTAAACACATGCAAACTTAATTAGTTCAGAAGGGAGATTTGGCGTTTGAGGTGATGGATAGAAGTAATGGGAAATGAGACACGCCCGAGCTGGCAGTGAGTTCTCACTCCAGCCCCATTCACTGGCACGCTGCTAATCAGATGTGACACTACACCTGCCTGTGTCCAGGGAGCACTAGAGCAGAGTGATGTGCTATTCACTAGCAGGTTGAAGGCAGACTCCGTGTCCGTGAGCTTGGAAACATGAAATGCATTTTCCACTTTGCCCTGGAGAAGCTTAGAGATCAAATTCTCAACTTAACAGTTAAAACAAAACAAAACAAAACAAAAACCCAGACAAGAGAGAACTGAACCACTTGTTCCACTCACTGCGCCCTTGTGGGGTCTTCCTTTCCAACTGGATGGCAACGACAAGTCACAAATGGAGAGTTAGGTTTCCAAGCTCCAGCATGCTACACAGCACCGCTGGCTGGCCAGCTCTCAGAGCAGCTCCCAGATCCCTGCTGGGGGGGGAGACACCGTTCACCCCGCTCTGTTCAGGGGGCTGGAGTTGAACTACTTCCACAGACTACTGCATTTTTTAATGTGCAGAGGGAGCGACCCCATGGAATCAGGTCAATAAGCTGATGGCAGGCCATGGCAGACCTGAGGTAGGGTGCACATGTCATCGAGACTGCTGTGTCTGAAGTCACTCTATCCCACGTACGACACACACGAGCCAGGAAGAGAACAAACAGGGACTTCATCCAACTCTAGGTGCCAAGGATAGAATCACAGGACGGGAAGGGACCTCGAGAGGTCATCTAGTCCAGTTCCTTGCACTCATGGCAGGACTAATTATCTAGACCATCCCTGACAGGTGTGTGTCTAACCTGCTTTTAAAAGTTTCCAGTGATGGAGATTCCACAACCTCCCTAAGCAATTTATTCCAGTGTTACCCACCCTGACAGTCAGGAAGTTTTTCCTAATGTCCAACCTAAACCTCCCTTGCTGCAATTTAAGCCCATTGCTTCTTATCCTATCCTCAGAGGTTAAGACAAACAATTTTTCTTCCTCCTCCTTGTAACAACCTTTCACATACTTGAAAACTGTTATCATGTCCCCCCAGTCTTTTCTTTTCCAGACTAAACAAACCCAATTTTTTCAGTCTTCCCTTATAGGTCATGTTTTCTAGAGCTTTAATCATTTTTGTTGCTCTTCTCTGGACTTTCCCAAATTTGTCCACATCCTTCCTGAAATGTGGCGCCCAGAACTGGACGCAATATTCCAGTTGAGGCCTAATCAGCACAGAGCAGAGCGGAAGAATTACTTCTCGTGTCTTGCTTACAACACTCCTGCTAGTACATCCCGGAATGAGGTTCGCTTTTTTTGCAACAGCATCACACTGTTGACTCCTATTTACCTTGTGATCCACACTAACCCCCAGATCCCTTTCCGCAGGACTCCTTCCTAGGCAGTCATTGCCCATTTTGTGTATGTGCAACTGATTGTTCCTTCCTAAGTGGAGTACTTTGCATTTGTCCTTATTGAATTTCATCCTGTTTACTTCAGGCCATTTCTCCAGTTTGTCCAGATCATTTTGAACCCTATCCTCCATGCCCCTATCCTGCAGCCCCTCCCAGCTTGGTATCATCCACAAACTTTATAAGTGTACTCAATATGCCATCATCTAAATCAGTGGTGGCAACCTGCGGCCCATCAGTGTAATCTGATTGCGGCCTGAGAGACATTTTGCTGACACTGACCGTCCACAGGCACTGCCCCCCGCAGCTCCCAGTGGCCGCGGTTCGCCATTTCCAGCCAATGGGAGCTGCGGGAAGCAGCAGGCCGCAGGGCCGCAGCAGAGCGGCAGGATGCCCACCACTGATCTAAATCATTGATGAAGATATTGAACAGAACCAGACCCAGAACTGATCCCTGCGGGACCCCACTTGATATTCCTTCCATCATGACTGTGAACCACTGATAACTACTCTCTGGGAACGGGTTTTCGTGGTGAGGTCAGGGTAGCATTCTCAGAGCAGATTCTGCATTTCACACTTGAGGCCACACGAAACGTGTGGGACAAATTAAGAAACACAGTAAAAGAACTAAAAAAGAGCCACCATGGCTTAACAACCATGTAAAAGAAGCAGTGAGAGATAAAAAGACTTCCTTTAAAAAGTGGAAGTCAAATCCTAGCAAGGTAAATAGAAAGGAGCATAAACACTGCCAAATCAAGTGTAAAAATGTAATAAGAAAAGTCAAAGAGGAGTTTGAAGAA